CTGAGTAGAACATCTGGTCTAGTTGAGTAATACTTCATATCTAAAAAAGTAATAAGACTATTTAACCATTGATAGCCTGAACCGGATGCTAGGGGGCGCCAGTTCGAACCACTTACGAAGTTGAGCGATCGTTGTCCGAAGTCGTAGTTTAAGTTCAGCCACATCGACTTCATCCAACGGGGTAGTCTTTTGAGATTCCGTTCGAGGATTCACGCTTACCGTAATCGTTACCATATCCATAGTACGAGGTTTCGTAGCAAGTCTTGCTCTACACTTTTCGAAAGTATGCTCATACATAAGATAGAAAGGCAAAAAAGTTGGCACTTACCCTTTACAGTTCTCTGCCTCAAGAGTAGATAAGTAGCACTGATTGAGAACACATTTAATACCATCGTAGTCGATAACTTCCGATAACTAAGGGAGTATTTTGATTCAACAACAATAACCATAACCTAAAGATTTGCTTACCTTCGCACTTCGTTCAGCTTCTCCATCATCATTTTCCCTGCAATAACGACGAACTTGCTCGCGTCTCGACATTTCAGCCTCAAGAATGCATCGAACATGCCTACAAATGGTGGAACAAATGAAAGTAATCGGCGCCCTAGCTTACTGACGACGTAAACAATGATTCATGAGATAATGAAACAAAAACAACCTCTCCTTTGAGTCTGACACCTCACCCTACAGGGACTATAGAAGATGCAGTTAAAAGATTAGATGACAGCCTACCCATAGAGAAACAACTTACTTTATGAAATTTGTGCTGCGCTTCTGTACACCATCGTAGGTCAAGTTGCAACGAGAATCCTAAGTAAAGGGCACAATTACTCAAAAGATTTTAAACATGAAGGAGACACAGAGGTTCTACATCGGTTATGAGGTCTTCGATTATTCAAATCTGTCAATTTTGTGTAATCATGCTTCCTATGCTAAATTATCATTGAGTGACAACCTTTATATGTTAAGAAATGGAAGCATGTGAGAAAGCAAGAAGAAGGAAGATTTTCGCAATGTGGAATAGAAATAAAAACTGTGAGGTACCTTGCTCCCTTTTTGAGGCATTCCCAGAGAAATCAAACGAATAAGACGGTCACAACGCATCACCGCAATTCCACCGAAATTTTTATTTGACGGTGGTGGTGACATGCCAACTGGAGGCCACCATCGACCAATACCCTAAGAAGAGCGCCGGAATGAGAATAAAGAGAAAAAGCATAACTAACTACAAAACATGTAAGCGTAGTACAAATGCACTCAGAACTTACGGGTACTAATTTATATTGCCATTCGACTCCTTCAGGATTCTTAGGATCGAAAATGAACAGTATTGAGGTGTTTTCCGGCCTGAACTGCAGCATTATAAATGAAAAATTACACTAACAAGAACTTTCTAAAGGAATCAAATTATCCGTTTTAGTTCCAAGTACCGTGGAATAAAAAAAATAGACTTTTAAGAAAAATCTAATTGCAAAACTCACAAATCATCGCGCATGTTCTCGCCTGTCGCCAAAAGACAGCC